CCCATCCCCCAGCGTTTTATTTCGCCTTCAAACCTGCCAACATCAACGATTGTCCCTCGTTCTCTGCTTTTTTTTCCTCTCTTTCGTTCCGTTGGTCTCTTTCATTTCCTCTTCTATTATTTTTCCTTCCTCACTTGATTTATCGCTACCTAATTAGCCCCCGGACGATTCAATGAGAATGGTTAATGTTTGTGAATGATCATTGGGGGGAGGGGGAGGGGGGGTGGAATGATTTTGGGGTGTGTTGGGGCACAGGTGTGAGGGAGTCGGTAATGAGAGTGATTGGGAGACTGATTATTGTCGACTCTCTGTTTAAGGGGAGACTTTTATGAGTTTTAAAAGTCGTGGGTTATTGGAGTGAGACTTTTCATACGTTGAAGATCGATGATATAGATCTGAAAACGAATAATTAGTGCAAAAAAAAATGTTTTATTGTTCGTTTGCCAGAAAACGCTTAAAATGCCAAAAACAGTCCGGGGCCTCCAATTTTCGAGGTACGAAGAATTTTTTTTTTCAAAATTTTCGGAAAAATATGCGGAATAACAATTACGAGCTCGTTTTTTTTTAATTCGCCTCTTACATGGTTACGTTTGCTTTTTTTGTATTTTTTTACACAAATAGTGATTTTTTTTTATATGAAAAAACCGAAATCAGCTGTGTAGGAGTCGAATGCCGATAAACTGGCTCGTAATTGTTGTTCCACATATTTTTTTGAAAATTTTGAGAAAAAATCTTTTGTAGCTTAAAAATTGGAGGCCCTGGACTGTAACCCACGACTTTTAAAACTCATAGTAGTCTCCCCTTAAGGTACTTATGGCGGGGGGTGGCCACGTAGGAGGTGAGACGGAGGGGAATCTATTGTTCTCTCGCAGAAAACCAATCGTTGAAAAAAAAAAAAACGAAATTTCAGGAAAATGACTTTTTTCCCACGTTAAAATTTTTTTTTTCGAATTCCCGTAAGATTCCGTGTTAAAATGCATTTTTAACGTACATACGTCTATGGTTTCAATATGGGGAGTCATTTTGGGAAACGGTCATTATGTGCAGCGTCATCTATCGGAATTCTAGAAAATTCTAGACATTTCGAGGTAATTTGAGAAGTTTCTCGAAATTTCGAAAAAATTCAAGGAGTTTCTAGAAATTTAGAGGAGATTCAGGAAGTTTCTAGAAAATTCGAGAGAATTCAAAGAGTTTCCAGAAAATTCGAGGGAATGCAAAGAGTTCCTAAGAAATTCGAGAATGAAGGAAAGACCATGGACGTATCCACGTACAATTACAGTTGTATCGAAGATACAGCTGCCTGCAATTTTTTCGCAAAATTCCTCTATTTCACTCATTCTCCTAGGCTATCCGGAATTTTGCATAGAAATTTTCAAAAAAATCAAGGAATATATTTTAAAAAATCATCAATTTCACGGAGAGAAATTTTTTAGAAAAATTCTAGTGCCTAGCACGAGAAAAGAGGCGCAAAGTAACAGTCAGGAAAAAATTCTGGAAATTTCATTGGGAAAACGTGAATTTTTCTCCGTATTTCTGTGAAAATTTCACAGAAATCTCCAGAAATTCTACCAGAAATACCAAGAAATCTTACCTTAACAGCACTAGAATTTTTCACAGCCAGTGAATTATGATTTTTTCCAGTACTCGTACTAAAATTTTTCTAGAAAATTTCTCTCCGTGTTCTTGACTTTTTTCGACCTCCCCTGATTACGTTATAAATACTTTAACGTGTTTCATTTGAAAAGTCAAAATCGTGAACAACAAGTGGGAACTTGCTCTTGTACTGCGTATAGTATAGTTTTTTTTGTATAATTCATTGTTTATTTAATTTTCATATATGGTTTATATTCACCATCGCTCCGCAGACGCGGGTAGTGAGAGTGGGCCAAAGTATCTTATATGAAGAGTCGATTGTATTTTGAATTTTGCCGTGAATTTATGATGTTTTCATAACGTATGCTGAGAAAAATGAATTTTCATTGATCTGACATTTTCCAAGGTCTTCCATCAAAATTGAAAAACCGTTAGTGACACATTCACATTACGTTTCGTCGGGTAATCCATTCGGAGCGCTGAGTTATTCAAAGATTGATGTTTTCTTTCCTCCCCCCACCCCTTCTCGTTCTCTCTCTCTCTCTCTCTCTCTCTCTCTCTCTCTCTCTCTCTCTCTCTCTCTCTNTCTCTCTCTCTCTCTCTCTCTCTCTCTCTCTCTCTCTCTCTTGCTCACTCCCCTACTCCCGTCAAAGTGAATGAAGCAAGATTCAAAAGCAGCATTTCAAATGCCTCATGAAACAAATCCGATTAAAAGGTAAGGATGCTCTTTGGGTCAACCACTTGAGTCATCTTAAACCGAAGTTGAAACGTCTTGGGGAAAACCACAGGGATTGTCTACAAGTTAACTGAAGCCTCTTACCAACATCTTCATTAAATGCAATCTCCAAATGTTGGAAAATCCCAAAATTTCATGACTAAATTCACATTATTGAACAGAGAGGAAAATTTTGTTTAAAAAATATCAATGAGACCATTTGTTTCGAGCTATTTTGAAATTCCATATCATTTGTGAACAGGGATAGGCAATAATATTAGATTTTGGCTATATTAAAAAAGATTATCTCGTTATATTGTTCAAAGTTTAACCATTTTTTTCAATTTTAATATATTATAGAATTTATTAGCTAAATTTTCCGATTGATGGTGAATAAAATATTTGATAATACTAAAATGTAATTTTTTGATTACCAAGCTAATTCTAACTTTAGGTACTTGATTTTCTATTATCCAAATAATCGCCAGTCTTTCTACCTAAATTATTGGTTGATGGAATATTTCGAAATTTAATTGTACAAATTGATGGGTACTTTAATATTTAAAATTTTAAGATTTATGTTAAACATTGACAGCTTCACAATTTAACGGTAATTATAATTGGTTTATATGCCTACTGTTTGTGAAGTTTCGTCAACTTTTTCCACTGAACCATGAAAATATACGAATTTGGTCTTGTCAGTGGGGCAATACGGGTTCTTCTACGAAAAATCCAGGGAAGTTTCCCCCCAAAAACACAATTTGACGGCCTATCTAGCCCTTATAGTTCTCAAGATATGGAGAAAAACATTTTTGACTAAAATTTTCCCAAAATTTCTTTCCTTTATATCTCGGAAAATAACCGGATGCGAAAGGTCGCCAGCCTCTTTCTGGATCGGAAATTTCCCTGGCTATCCAAAACCACCACCCATTTTGCCCCATCCCCCCCATCTCTCAATTTTCCCGGATCCCGAGTACCAAACACCATGCATAATAAATTGTCCAACAGTTCCGCGTGGATGATTAATACAGTAATTAATAATATACGGTGACCAAGCCCCATCAGTGATGGTTGTTAGATCCTCTCCCTCTACACTCATAAGAAGCCCTCCCTGCCGGCTATTGTTACCGCTGGACACTGGTGGCAAGGGGGGGAAAGGGGCTAGCCAGTGTTTAACAGCAAAAAGCCAAGAGGCCAAAGGCTCAGGAGTGTTACGTCATGCTCCGGACTTTTCCCCGAGACTAGAGGGGGGGAATAGACTCGAATGGGCTAGACTGGGTGTCCCAAGTTCTATCGAATGAATTCGCTTGTCCCTTGGACGAGTAATTACCCCCTTTCCCCCCGGGCCAGTGGTCTCTCGACCGTTTACATCTGATAAGGTCAGTGATAAGGTAGGATATTGGTGTTCAAACCTAAAGGCTACGTGATGTTTTAGCTAATGAGGTGAAATTGATTTGATATCTTCATGCGCAGGGGAAAGGGCTCCATTTTACCCCTTTATTTACGATGAAATCAGTAGCGAAGTGGTCAAACGGTTTAAGTCGACTTAGCTCTTAGCTGAGTTTTCGATGAATATCGCCAAATCTGAGGGAGATAGCGAAATTTTCATATATATCTTTTTTGAAGCTCTCAATGTGCTCTACCAAAAAGGTCATTACAGAAATTTTGCTATCTGCATTAGATTGCGAGATAGTCATTGAAAACTCACGAATAGTCAAAATCGATTTAAACCGTTTGACCACTTCGCTACTGAAATGTCAACTTTCGAGTTGAAATATCAATATATCGACGGCTTGAGGTGTAACAGAAGGCCACCGTTTTTCCTGAAATATTCAAACAAATTTCGTGCACGTTTTTTTTTTTTTTTTTTTTTTTTTTTTTTTTTTTTTTTAAAATTTTTTTTTTTTTTTTTTTTTTTTTTTTTTTTTTTTTTTTTTTTTTTTTTTTTTTTTTTTTTTTTTTTTTTTTTTTTTTTTTTTTTTTTTTTTTTTTTTTTTTTTTTTTTTTTTTTTTTTTTTTTTTTTTNCGTTTTTCCCGGTGGCTTGGCGCAGTGGGTAAGTTCGTTGCTCACATGCGAAAGGTTCCGAGTTCCAATCTCGGCCGGGTAGAATGGTGCGATCTAACCATTTTAAAGTCTTGATCATCATCGCAGTATACCCTAACCGGGTCGAAGCGATGTAAAATAATGATTAAAAAAAAATATTTTTGACATTCAAAGCACATTGATCTTCATCATCGCCTCCGGGAGATTAATGTTCTTTGATTTGTAAAAATATCGATAACTTTCGGCAGGAAATTTGTTCAAAAATTTGGCAAATTAAGGGCATTCTGTTACCCCTTAAGGGGCTACGTCGGTGAAATTTAAGTCTTTACTGGGCCTTGGGACCCATTGAACCGGTTGTGAGAATGAGAATAACTAGGGAAAATCGCGGACCCGATCGATTTTGGCTCGTTAATCCACGAAAAACTTCATTTTTTCCTGTTTTTAACTTCAAAATTCTCGTTACGCCGTAGTTTTCATACGAATTTAGCATTTTTTTAAATGTTCGTTACACTCTGAACAACAAATTTAAGCATCTGTTTTACTTTATTCGCAATAGATCATGAATAAATGAATTTTCAAATATTTTGGAGATATGAAATGGGATTACAAAAAATGAGAGAATTAAATATAGTTTTTTTATGATTTCAGATCAATGTCGAGAGTGTATGCAGGCCAGACTTGACCAGGAACGTCTAGATAGTTTAAATTATGATAATGCAAAGATATACATTAAGTGCATAGATGAAGGAGATGATAACGATGTGAGTACTATAAAATTCTGTCGACATATTTTTTTCTTACGAAATCGGGATATTTTATGCATTTTAGTTTTATTAAGAAATTAGAATAGACATTGGAATAGATCGATTAGACCTCGAAATGCATGAGAAATTCCATAATTTTGTCACTGCGGATATTTTCTTGAACTATTTGGAAAGTTCAACTTCGAGTGGAATTATCGACGTGAATTATCGAATCTAAAATTGGAAAAAAAATCAAAATATTTCTGTTAGTTCAAGAAATTGAGATTTGAAGCAGCTTAATATGTGAGAAATTCCCCAATTTTATTATTTTGTTTGTTTAATAACAACAAGTGCATATAGTGTAGTTATTTTTGCTCATAAATTGGAAAAAAATTGTCCCCTCGAAATCATTTAGTTTTCCCAATAACACAGTTTTCGGCAAGAAAATTGTAGTTTCTTCTTGAAATTAGCATTTGTTCCCTGGAAATTATAAGTGATAAATAAAAAAATGAAAAAAAAAGTAATGAGATGGCCCTATTGAAAAATTTGGTGATTGGATGTATGAAAATCTACGATGTTACCCTCACAAAACTGTACATTACAGTCGAATCACTTCAACGATATTATTCTTTCAATTTTCATTTTTTCATGAATTAAGACGAAACGAGTTGTAAAAATTGTCGAGTCACTTGATTTCCGAGGATCTACGACTGATTGATGGTGGCGAATATAGCAGCCCTTCGTTCCTCATTCGTTTCACTCGTAATAATTGTTATTATCAAGTGAATTGGACGTCTGAGTGTGGCAAAGTAGTCTAAAACACACACCTGTCCCATTTCGAATCACTTTGTATCCCCTCGTGTTTGCCTTTTTATTCATATTTCTGCCTTCTTTTTTTACCATTGGCAGAGTCCTATCAAGAGTTCGAGGTCTTCCAGGACGAGGAGAAAAGCAAAAGGCTCACATGAACTCAAAGTGTCTTCTCAAATGACTCTCAAACAGCTCAAAGTCATGGTGAGTTATTTTTCCGTCACCCAAATTTTCCACAAAATTATAACAAAACAAGTGGGTAATTGAATATTATCAGCCCTCCCCTCAGCCCTTCGATAAAATGTTAATAGAAATATTTTAGTTATACATACTTGAATGAATTTAAAACATCAGATTTGGAGAAACCATCAGAATGCTCACTTTCAGGAAAATTTATGAAAAAAGTTCGAAATTTTCAACGATCTTTATAAAAATCAAATCAATCAATATACCTGTCGTAATCATTTTTTAACTCTAAGTTGATGACATTAAAACAAACATTTTAAAAAAATATGAAACTGATTTTCAAAAAATATAAAATTTTTGCAAATTTTTGAATAAATCAAAATAACGATTATTGCTATCGCCTTCATCTTCGATCTCGGTGAAAAGGACATCCAAACAAATTTTCCAAGCCATCATTCAATCAGTTCAGACAATTTTTTTTGTTATCGTGGGACAACCGATTTTCGAAAAAAATCTAAAATTAAAAAAAAAATCGATGAATTAAAATTTAATTGATGGCGATCGGTAGGACCCCACAATACGTACATTTGAAAGAAAATGATTACAGGAAAATTCCATTTTCGGACTTTTTGGATCATACTGGGTCAATATAACACGAAAAATCCAAAACTTAAATTTGCATGATTGCAAAGCTTTCAGTGGGAATCAAAAAAATTTTTGGATATCAATTGCACCTATTCCATCGAGTAGTCAGGGAAATTTCCGATTCCGTTCGCCACTCATGGACCCATTTTGCCCCATTACTTTGAAAAATATTGAAGTTCTGATATTTTTCAAAATTGATTTTTTCGTTATAACTCCATAAATAATGGGGCAGAATGGGTCTCCATACTAGGTTTTCCAGCTGAAATTTCCCGGGCTATTCAGTGGTGTAATCCACTGTTGCCCCATATTTTTTTCAAAATTTTTAAAAAAATGATTATTTTAATAAAAAAAAAAAAAATTCATCAACTGTATTATTTATATCGCTGGAATCTCTGAGCGCCTCTCGTAAACACTTCTCATATATTTTTTTTCGCCTGAGAGTTGAACTCCGAAGACAAGAGCAGAAAGAAGAAAAATATAAGAAAGAGCATAAACTCGAGATAATAACAGGCTTGAGGCATCTCCCAGCATTCGTCCCAAATATTTCACAATCTCGCGTCAAATAAATTCATTATATCTTTCAATTCATGAATTGATTCCCGTCGCCAACGGGAATGATAGAAAATTAAGAGTAGAGAATTTTTGTAATACGATTTTCCATCTTAATTGGAGTCCAACGACTTACTTATCCCTCTCTGCTATGTACTTACCGTTGTTTCCAGCCTTCGATCGTAAAACCAAACTGAATATGTTTCGTTGACCACCATTTCACCATAATCATCTTTGTAAAGAAGAGGATAATAAGAGAGAAAAATAAATAAAAATAAAAGGGATGAAAAACTGTTGAACCTTCCAGTGCCAAGAATGAGAGAGAGAGGGGGGAGGGGGGGGGGACAATGTACTTTCTGCCTTCCACAAATTAAGCAATTACGGGTACAGACGCATGCGCCGCCGGAAATTCAAAGGCGCCAACTTATCGTTTAAAGAAGATGAAGAAATGAATGTAGTTTTTGTTTCCGTTTTCTCGATGGATTTGAGAATTTTTTTTCCTCTGGAGGTTCACGTGAATCTGAATATTATTTTGTATGCATCCGTGAAAAAATTGTTGGCATAGTTCAATGACTATTAAGGTGTTTCGTATGAAATGTCGAAATAATGAAAAATACGTGGACGATTGCATTTTTTAAATAAATGAGTATAGTACTGTCGCTAATGAATTGGCGATTTTTTTAAAATTCTTATTCCGGTATTCTCTTCTTGCATTTTTTTATGTCATAGTACTATCATCAATTGAAATGCTATCATAATGTTTGCGTATTAATCGTTTTCATTCCGGGTTTAATCAGGGCAAATGCTGTTCTCACCATTCTCCAACTTGATTGAAATATACTTTTCGAGCCCTGATTTAATTGATATTACTGATGAAAAAACCTATTTTCTCTTTAAAATCGAATGAACAATGTGCTGTCAATCAGAGAAATTTTCATATCTCCCAAAAAAATAATGAGCTATTAAAAAAAAACAAGTGGGTGATAAACCAAATCTGGCTTGAAACTACGTATAAGTTTCAAAATTTTTTCCGATTTCATAAGAAAGTTATTTGAAAAAATTACACGGCTTAAAAATGTTTATCATTCCCAGAATATCATGATTATTTATTGCAAAAATTTGAAGGAAAATAAACTGCAAAAACATCGTGCATTAAAATTTTCTCACTTTGAAATTTTCCAACTCTGTTTTTTTTATATTTTTAGACAATGGCAATTTGTAGTGCTGGACCATTTGACCAACATTTGATGCTAGACGAACGTGAACTAACAGAATCAGATCAGAATCTAGCCTCCCTCGGTGTCTACCCCGGTGCTGTACTCAAGTTAAAGGTAAGAGACACAAAACAAGTAGAAAAACTCATTTATAACCCGATAAACTGCTTCTCGGTGAATGTCTCGGTGTCTCAAGCCACCTGAACGAGTGTTCGAGTGTTCGCTCGAGCGAATCATCGTGTCTGAAAAAATATATTCCTCTTGACGATGGGGGAAAAATGTATGAGTAGAGCATAACGGCTTTGAGAATAGCTACTTAACAAGAAAAAAAAACATAATCCACGGAGTTTTATGGAATTTTTAATGGATTGTTTTGAGAACTGTGAAGCCAGTTTTAAGAAAATACGAACTTTGATTCTCTGTTTTATTCATTCGTGCTCAGTAAGACAATGATTTAGCATTTTTATGAAGTAAAAAAAATTTCATTTAGAACATGGGGCAGAACGGGTTATGGTATGGAACAGCCAGGGAAATATTCGATATTATGAAAAGAAATTTTGACCAATTTTGGCGAAATTTTGATCGAAAATGTCTTTTCCTATAGCTTGCAAACTATGGGGGCAAAATGGGTTGTCATACTCAGTTTTTCAGCGGAAATTTTCCGAACGATGTAATGGCCCACCTGTTTTGCCCCACCTATAAAAAATTGTTCATGAAGTAGAGACGGGGTAAAACGGGTTGTTCCATCAAATTAGCAGGAAAATTTCCGATCCGAAAAGAGGCTGGCGACCTCTCGCATTCGCTTAGTTTCCGAGATATTATAAAAAAAAATTTCGACCAATTTTGGCGAAATTTTGATCCAAAATTTTTTCCCCTATATCTTGCAAACTAGTGGGGCAAAATGGGTTGTCATACTCAGTTTTTCAGCGAAAATTTTCCGAACGATGTAATGGCCCACCTGTTTTGCCCCCCCTCTAAAAAATTGTTCATGAAGTAGAGACGGGGTAAAACGGGTTGTTCCATCAAATTAGCAGAAAAATTTCCGATCCGAAAAGAGGCTGGCGACCTCTCGCATTCGCTTAGTTTCCGAGATATTATAAAAAGAAATTTCGACCAATTTTGGCGAAATTTTGATCCAAAATTTTTTCCCCTATATCTTGCAAACTAGGGGGGCAAAATGGGTTGTCATACTCAGTTTTTCAGCGAAAATTTTCCGAACGATGTAATGGCCCACCTGTTTTGCCCCACCTCTAAAAAATTGTTCATGAAGTAGAGACGGGGTAAAACGGGTTGTTCCATCAAATTAGCAGGAAAATTTCCGATCCGAAAAGAGGCTGGCGACCTCTCGCATTCGCTTAGTTTCCGAGATATTATAAAAAAAAATTTCGACCAATTTTGGCGAAATTTTGATCCAAAATTTTTTCCCCTATATCTTGCAAACTAGGGGGGCAAAATGGGTTGTCGTACTCAGTTTTTCAGCGAAAATTTTCCGAACGATGTAATGGCCCACCTGTTTTGCCCCACCTCTAAAAAATTGTTCATGAAGTAGAGACGGGGTAAAACGGGTTGTTCCATCAAATTAGCAGGAAAATTTCCGATCCGAAAAGAGGCTGGCGACCTCTCGCATTCGCTTAGTTTTCGAGATATTATAAAAAGAAATCTCGGCCAATTTTGGCGGAATTTTGATCAAAAATGTTTTTCCCCATATCTTTGGAAACCACGGGGGCAAAATGGGTCGGGCACTATTCGTTTTGCCCGCATCTTTCATTTTTGCTTTTTTTGTTAATGGGATACTTTCAAAAAATTTGAATTTCGAGTAATTACTTCATCCTCCCCTAATGCTCTTTGTGTTAAAATGTCAGCAACATCTTGACAAATGTTCGAAATTCTAATTTCCACTACAACCAGTAACAATAGTTTCATTTGCCCTATCAAAGGGAAGAGCCAACATAAGATTAGATAACAATCCTGAGACAAACCCTTTTCTTACCTGGATTAATGTGGGATTAGTTCCCCGTAATTGGTGAATTTCAACACAGGATGTTACCCATAAACAGACAATAAAAAAGTTGAAACAGATAAACAGTAATTCTCGAGTGGAATACAGAATAAGAAATGTGTTCATTTTGATGGTGGATTTTCAACTGTTGGAGATTATTATTAGCCAGTGGCAATAATTTTCAGCATTCCTCGCTTTACAGATCAGTGATTTTATGGTGTTTCCGTTACGAGACTTCTTGGCATCGGTTAAATATTTTGTTAGCACAAAACAATTTTTTTTCCATTTTTTTTTCTTTTTTTAAAAATTTACTCTAACATTTTTGACAGCGGCAATCGGTCAGATAAATTATTTAAAAAATTTAATATTTTTCTTAACAACTTTGATAGAAAAATTTGATGATTAAGAATTTTTAAATGACTTGGTTCGCTTCGAAAAAATGTCAAACCTGTTGATTATCGAAAAAATTCGTTAAAAAATGTTCAAAACAAAATGAAAAAAACAAAAAAACAAGCTCTGAACAGAAGGTATCCAAGAAATTGAACTAGATCCACTCGTACACGGGACGGTTTTTTACCCCTAAACCCCAATTTTTTGGTATCTCTTGCCCCCTTATAACGGGCGCTCCTTTTGCTTTTCATGGCTGATCGACCGGGAGTCTTTAGAGTCGCTCAGTCCACCTCGAGGAGGCCCCATAACAGTGTTCCTATCCTCTTTGTCTCACTCAACGTTTTGCGGCAGCCGCTTTTGATGTCGTGTGACGAATGTCCACGTTGGACGCGCTTCTTCTTCCATCCTCCTCTCATCATCCAATTCTCTTCGTCTTTTCATTTCCCCTTTTTACCATTTTTTTACCTCCTTTTTCTCTCATTTTTGCTCTTGTTTGTTTTTTCGTTCTTCTCTTGACTCCTGTTGTCTTCACAATCACTCTTGGCCTCTTCTCGCGACTGTTGGGGAGTTTGAAATCGAATGAAAGAGGGGAATCCCAATTTTTTAAAAAGAATTTTGCTGCATTTTTCCGACAGACAGCAATTCATTCTTTTAATGGCCAAAATGCAACAACAGCTCTACATAGAACAGTCCGAAATAATAAAAATAAAATCAATTTTTTTTGTCAACTAATTTTACCTTCACTCACTCCTGAACTAAAAAATATGTGAATTCCACACTGGAGATGGGGCAAAATGGGTGTCACCATTAGTTAGCCAGGGAAATTTGAGCTGAAAAACTCGGTATGACGACCTATTTAGCCCCCATAGCGCCTGAGATATAGAAACAAACATTTTTGACCAAAATTTCAGCAAAATTGGTCGACATTATTTTTTGCTATATCTCCCAAACTAAGGGGCTGCGGGAGGTCGTCAGCCTCTTTTTGGATCGGAAATTTCCCTGGCTATCCAATAGCGCCATCCGTTTTGCCCCACATCTCAATTTGGGTTATTCCAATTGTTCGCGAGAACGAAGACAATTCGTAAAATGAAGAATGTACTCTCTTTTTCTCTCTCCCCCCCTCTTCATTCTTCTCTCATACTCTGTTGCATCCGTAGCAAAGTTGGCGTGGTAAACGAGGATCCTGTTTACACGGAGTTACGCTCGAAAACCGGCCAAGATCTACCTTGCTCGCTCTCCCCTCCACCCCTTCATTTTATCTCCTTTAAACCTCTTCACTCCTTGACTCCATCCCTAATTTTCTTTTACTCTTGTTCTCCAGAGACAGTAAACGCGCCTTCTCGTGCAGGTAATGGCAATAATTACATCTCCACATTCACCATCCCACCACCCCACCGCCCCCTTGTGTTACTCTTGGGGTTTGTAGTCGGCATTAAAATCAAATCACTTGGCCTAGGCATGGACTCTTCTCCATCTTCTTCGAGTCTCGGTGCATAATGCAGTGATGGAGGTTGAGGTTCGGATACATTTAGGGCTTGCATTCCGGAGTAATGAAGACGTTGTGAAAATTTTTCTGTTTTTTCTTGTGGATTTAATTGCAACTATGCTGGGGTGGGGGATTTTATAGAGTTATAAATGAGATGTTGATGATTTTCGCTTCGCAGTTGAATATTTTTAATTGTAGAATTCGAGAATTAAATTGGGCAATGAGAAAGAAAATTTCTAATATCTGAAATATATTCACTTGAGACGAGTAATTTTTTATTTAGAAAGGTCTCATCCTTTGAAATAGTCTTGTACTCACTCTACACTGTTGGAAATTTTTTGAAATTTCAGGGAAGATGTTATAGTAAATCTCATGAGAGTGACGTTGAATGGAATTTAGGAAAAAATGGGTATGAAATTTCAAGTTTCAAGTAGAATTCACGGAGAATCGTGAGCTTTCAGTGAGAGATGGATGGGAATTTTACAGCTTGGTTGAATTTTCAGTGGAGCATGAATATTCAGAAACAAAATAACATGAATTTTCAATTTTTCCCTGAATTATTCTGAATTTTCACAGAGTAATTGAACTGAAAAATCAAGTATTTTATTGTTTTCCAGATCGTTTGAACAGAAAATTAATGGAATAATTGATTTTTCAATGACAAGATTTCCTGAATTTTCAGTGAAAATTCAACACGATAAAAATTTGCGGAATTTGGCACGGAAAATTCAGACGAAAATTTTTAACAGTGTAGTCGTGTCGAAGAATTGTCAAGCTTCAGCTATTTATTGTCTTTTTCTATGCACGATAGAGGAACGCTAGAGATAAATGAGAACTTATTCCAGTTCTGTGAAGCGCAAACTTTCTGAGATTTAAGGTATTGAAAATAATTCACTTCTCACAAGTAAATATAGTCTGCATATTAGGAAATTTTTCTCCCAGTGAGAAAGTAGTTATTTGATCCTTATTTTTCTTCACACAAACATTTTCTTGCCTCCGCAGAAAATCTATTTTTTCATCTCAGAGTATTTTCCAAATGTTTACAAAATACCCAAAACTCGCTTATTTTTTTCAACTCCATATCCCCCCCCCCAAAAAAATCAAAATTTACCAGATGACCTCATTCTCATATTTATTCACAGAATAAATGACTTTTCTGTATTTTCACACCTCACGTGTACCATAAATCACCGTATTTTCTGATTTTTGGAATCTTTTTATCAGGCAAACAGTAGTCTGACC